AGAAGCAGAAGAAGCAGAAGCAGAAGCAGTAGAAGAAGAAGAAGCAGAAGCAACAGAAGCAGAAGCAGCAGAAGCAGAAGCAGCAAAATCAGAAGAAGCAGAAGAATCAGAAACAGAAGAAGCAGAAGAAGAAGAAGAAGCAGCAGAAGCAGCACAAGAAGCAGAAGCAGAAGAAGAAGCAGAAGAAGAAGCAGAAGCAGAAGAAGATGAAACAGAAGTAGAAAAACCTGCAGAAGCAGAAGAAGCAGCAGAAGCAGCAGAAGAAAGAGGAGAAAAAAGCAGAAGCAACAGGCAGAAGCAGAAGCAGAAGCAGAAGAAGCAGAAGAAGCAGAAGCAGCAGACAGAAGCTGAAGAAGCAGCAGAAGCAGAAGAAGCAGAAGCAGAAGAAGCAGAAGAAGAAGCAGAAGCAGAAGAAGCGAAGCAGAAGCAGAAGAAGAATAAACAGAGGAAGCAGAAGCAGCAGAAGAAGCAGAAGCGGAAGAAGCAGAAGAAGCAGAAAAAGCAGAAGCAGAAGCAGAAAAAGCAGAAGCAGCAGAAGCAGAAGCCGAAGAAGCAGAAGAAGAAGAAGCAGAAGAAGAAGCAGCAGAAGAAGAAGAAGCAGTAGAAGCAGCAGAAGAAGCAGCAGAGAGAAGCAGAAGCAGCAGGCAGAAGAAGAAGAAGCAGAAACAGAAGAAGCAGAAGCAGAAGCAGGAGAAGCAGAAGAAACAGAAGCAGATGCAGAAGATGCACAAGCAGAAGAGCAAAAAGCAGAAGAAACAAAAGCAGAAAAAAAAGCAGAAATAGAAAAAGCAGAAGTGGAAGCAGTAGAAGAAGGAGCAGACAGAAAAAGCTGAAACAGACAGAAGCAGATGCAGAAAAAGCCGAAGCAGAAGCAGAAGAAGCAGAAGCAGAAGCAGAAGCAGAAAAAGCAGAAGAAGAAGAAGCAGAAGCGGAAGAAGCACAAGCAGAAGAAGCAGGCAGAAGCATTCAGAGGCAGAAGCAATCTGAAACAGAAGCGGAAGAAGCAGAATAAGAAACAGCAGCAGAAGCAGAAGCAGAAAGAGAAGCAGAAGCAGCAGAAAAAGCAGAAGAAGCGAAGCAAAAGAAGCAGAAACAAAATCCGAATCAAAAGAAGCAGAAGCAGTAGCAGAAGCAAAAGCATAAGAAGCAGAAGCTGAAGAAGAAGAAGCAGAAGAAACCGAAGAACAGAAGCAGAAGAAGCAGAAGCAGAAGCAGAAGAAGCAGAAGAAGAAGCATCAGCAGAAGCAGAA